CCCCTCCTCTCTCTCTCTCTCTCTCTCTCTCTCTCTCTCTCTCTCTCTCTCTCTCTCTCTATCTATCTATCTATCTATCTATCTATCTGTCTATCTATCTATCTATCTATCTATCATTCTCCGGGCCCCCTCAATATGAGGTTTGACTGACACAGTTTAATTCATTGGGTGGCGAGCATCCCCCAAACCATGACGGCTCTGGTTTGAAGTCAGTTTGAAAACCATGCAGTCACTCAAGAAATTGCAAAGAAGCATCCGACGCAGAGCAGAAGAGACCCCTCCCTACAAGAAAGACGGCTGCTGCGTACTGCCTCGAGTCTGTCGATCACAAAAGATGAGACATCGTAATATGCGTACTATGCTCTGCATACGAGAGCATAGGCACGGTCAAGTGGCTACCATGCACAAGGCCCCAATCAAGACCAGATGAAGACCAGATGAATGACTGCATCAGTCCTCATGATGGCACACCGCGACGGCCAATTTCGGGTGGGGGAACCAAAGTAAAGAAGGCACAACAACGCGGAATTGTTGCTCACTTCTGAATGACAGTTCACATAATCATTACTGTGACAGTGGGAGCTGCAAACTTTAAGGCAGCATAAGGGCAAAACAGGGGATTGTTCGCCAACGCCACTCCCAGGCTGGCAAAAAACAAGAAACTTCCAGTCTGAGAATGAAAAAACAAGAGAAATCAACACACCAGACAATCTACAGAATGCTCTCTCGTCGACCAGACTAGCAGTGAGAATGAGGTATCCTGAGAAGGATGCCATTACATGGCGCAAACTGCCCAATCGGATGAAGTAAGCACTCTACTACTAGCATGGTGATCCACTGATCCATGCTGGGCCCAATACCGGGAACCAAGCTGCTCAATATACCCTCAAGGGACCTCTCAAGAGTCTCAACCCAGAAGCCGCGAGACATTGAGTGAAGCATATGGGTGAATGAAGATAGAACGCAAGTGTGGGAGCAGATCAAGTCAAGGAGAACAATAGGGGGAGGAAGAGGAAAAGACAGAGCAGACTCTGAGATGGGGGGAGGAGAGAGAACATGCAATGCCATTCATTGGGAGATGGAAACGGGAAGAGCGTGAGAGACATGGATGCGAGCAAACATACCGCAACCGCGTGGGCGACGAAGCAGTAGGAAGAGAGAGAAGAGAGACATTTGAGCAGGTACAGGAGAACAATAGGAGGACAAAGAGGGGAACGGTGGAGCACAAAATCTGATTTTTGGGGACAAACGAAAACAGACATTCATTGGGTGAGGGAAAAAGGGAAGAGCACGAGAGACACAACCGCGACGGCGACGAAACCGCAACCGCGTCGGCGACAAAGCGATAGGCAGAGAGAGAAGAGAGGAGAGAGAAATTGGGCAGCAAAACACCATCCCGAGTCTCAGGGATTGAGGAGAGGGCGACGAGAAACAGTATCATGCCAGAAGAAAATAGCCCATGCTTCGGAATCCCAGCAAGAGAGCACAAAACCACTGCTGCCGCGGCTGGCAGAGTTAAGACGCTGCCAATTAACGAATCAATCCTTAAGAAAGGCCGCTCTCAGAGCGCTCCCCTATCTTCCTTCCATCAGATGCGATCTTGGTCTCATCCTTACTATAAAAAAAAAAACAAAAAAAAAAAAACAAAGCCACATTGGCCATGCAAGAGAGCCTATCGATGCCCTTCAACATGGGAGGGCAGATCTGAGCCCCGGACCACACAGACAAATGGCCACAGCAGCGCAACGTCTAATATCCTAAATGCCAAAATACCCAACATCTATGCACAACTACATCATGTGTATACTTCTCAGAGAAGTCACTAGCTTCCTATGATCGCAGACCACCGCATTTCCTCGAACCAGCACCCCCAACACGAAGATCCGAACGACGACGCGTCGCAGGACAACATGCCCATACCAGACATCACCATTCTGAGGCCCTCCATCACTTCAGAATCTTCGTTACTTAGTCTAATGATTCACCAGCCTGAGGGTTGATCTTGCCATCTTGGATGTTGGCCATGCCCCTAAGCCGCCGGTACTTGCTTCAGAATCTCTCTCTCTTTCGCCAATTATAACGGTGAAGAGAAGCCAGGATTGATGTCGGCCACGCCCCTACCAGTAATCTCGTACTTGTTTAAAGTTCGCTTGTGACACTGGCAGGCACCTTGTGATCCCACAGCAAGGAGCTAGGATGGGGAGACCTGAACTTCAAGGGGATTACACAAAAGACAAGATCCATGGCAAGACCTGCTGAGTCTGCTGACATTCCAGTGCACCCTTCCGATTTTCCTTATCGTCAACCCTGAGGCTCTCCTCCTCAAGCAAGCGATCATAGACAGAAAGAAAGGGAAGATTCCCGCCACAAGAGATTTCTATCTGGCTAACTGCACAAGTTCATATTGACAGCCTTCAACTGAAAGAGCCTGCTTCAAACTCACCTCAAAACTTCTAAGTGACAAAAAGATTGTTCCCGCTTCCAATGCACAGGAGACACGATCACCCGATGGACTTTTACACAGACATTCTTTTTCTCTCTCTCTCTCTCTCTCTCCCAGTTGGTCTCTCTCTCTCTCTCTCTCTCTCTCTCTCTCTCTCTCTCTCTCTCTCTCTCTCTCTCTCTCTCTCTCTCTCTCTCTCTCTCTCTCTCACTCGCTCTCTCTCTCTCTTGGTCTCTCTCAATCGGTCTCTCTCAATCGGTCTCTCTCAATTGGTCTCTCTCTCTCTCTCTCTCTCTCTCTCTCTCTCTCTCTCTCTCTAGGTTGCGTGTTAAGTTTAACCTAATCAACTCGCTCTTCGTTAAAACACGAGAGGCTCAATTGGATGATCCGCTGGCACCAACATATGGTGTTGATGTTCCACAGTAAAAGGCAGGCAGATTATGATCTACGTCGGGTCCTAACAAACCACTTCAAACGAACCTTATAGCAGTTCGGACGGCAAAGCTTCACCTAAGCTTACACTGGCACGCCTCACTGTACCTTTATGCACTCACTCAGCCTCCCTCGCCAATAATACTCGTAACGTAAGCATCACACACACGTACTCCCCTCAATGGCATCCTGAGTGGGACATGAGGAGGATCTCTCAATCCAACTAATATTCTTCATGCTCACATGTTGCTTTCCTCTCCCTGCTTCTCCCCCAAAACTCTCTTCAAGTTGTTGCTCAGATGACCCACAAGGCCCACAACAGTGACAACACACCCCATCATCATTTTCCCCCACATGGATCATTCACCCTTCGCCCGAGCGAGCGAGTTCTCTTTAAATACCACAGTCCGTGCATGATGGATCTGGCCAATTGATAGATAAATCATTGCAACAATGGATCTGACGAATAGCCAAATGGCTTCATGGATGGATGGATGCATGGATGGGTACATGAATAGATGGACGCACGCATGGATGGATGGATGGGTCAGTCGATAGGATGCAAAGTCCCCTACCCGTCGTTTTGGTATACGAAACTGCATGGCACAACTGCTGCTTCATCGCCAATTGTAATGATTGTCCTCCTCCTCCCTGGTGCACTCCAGCATGGCTCTCGTTCACCCCGACACCGTGTCCTGATTTCAAATTTGAACCTTCCGTTGTCGCATAAATCTGACCGTTGGATGGATCGACCACCGTCTCACTGACTCTCACAGGATCTGAATACTAGGTATATACAGTCATGGATGGATGAATTACAAGATTCTCTGAGATTCTCTCGTCCCTGCTTTCACATGTCATTGACAGCTTCACGACACAGCGGGTCCTTCATTCAGGATGATCATCGGCCCTCCATCAGCTGCCCCTCCCCTGGCCCGCTTTCATCTATTCATCTCTGTAAAAAAAAAAAAAAAAAAAAAAGGGGGATCATGCACAGGTCACACAATGACATGCAGAATGACGCACCACGGTTAGTACACCACCGGTCGAAAACTCGTGCAACGTTTGTAAAATGCAGCATAATAGGCCATTAATAGGCGCATAGGAGGAGACAAATGCAGGTTCCTCAGGCTGGAAACATGAAGAGTATGGGCCTCGCTGCGCTACTCTCGAAATGTGCACAACGAGAGTGGATCTTCCGCTAGAATATGGAAAGATACAGGGCCGTGATTTTTGTCTTTTGTGCATTTCAAGAGTAGTGCAGCGAGGCCCTATGTCCTTACTGGAGGATGAAGCCTGAAGGATAACTACGAGCATGCGAAGTCGTCTGCTTTCCTCCTCAGGCTGCCGTCTTTTCATTGGCCACACAATGTCATGGTGGTGTCGTGTTGCTTGCGTGCCAGCAGGAAAGCCGACACATGCTCGCCGAGCAGCTATCGAACTCGAAATCGATTGTCATGGCGTTCATAAGCGCGTATGGGGATACAAATGACAATGACGATGGGTGTCACAGGTCAAATGGCGGAGGCCGGCACTGACCATTCCTTCACAGTGATCCAAGCAGAGAGGTTATGGCATGCACATGCTAACCGAACAACGCACGTGCCCACACAACGGCATCAGGATCATGGCAGAGTAACCCTCTTCTGAAGGAACTTGATAAAAATCACTGGCAGAATCCATCTCATCTGCACACACAAGTGGCACATCCTTGCCACAGGTAGAGAGGAGGGGGAGGGGGACGTCTCAGATTGTCCTCCCCCTGAAACGAAAGAGCTTCCCGACCCCTGACTCGGAGTTGCGACCGTGGAAGCGCATATTGCTTGTTCTCAATCAACGAGAACGACCAAGTGGGACTCCACCAGCTGGGGCTAGACAGGGGTCATGCGACCCAAAGAGTCACTGAGCACCCCACCACCATATCCGCCAGGGCCCATGAGTTATCTACCAAGGCGATAGCACCGAAATGACCCGACCGATGCAGGGTATAAGGGTATACTCCGCGCCACGTTAGGGATATACTTATGGGGGGGCTGGCTGGCGTTGCCATTGTCTTCCCATAAACCCCATTGTAGACAGCATTTCCGGCCCGTGGACTCGCGGGGAGTGCAAAGCCTTGAAGTCCAGGCCCGGGTGTACTTGAAAGGTGAAAGACAGCGTTGCGACTACACAGAGCCAGTGCAACGCCTCCAGACCTGGGCGACTACACAGGGCCAGTGCACTTGTGGTTTAAACCATAGGTACATTCGAAAAAGCAGATTCGATTATTTGAGCCTCTCTGAAAAAAGAAGGGTCCATGAACCGCCGATTCATTTTATTAAGGGTCCATGGACCTCGGAAACTTTGGGAGAGGCTCAATCTGCTTTTTCGGATGTACTTGTGATTTAAGAGACACCATCGTCACGTCAGTACACACATGGAACTATCGACAATCAGACGGAATTCAAATTTGACGGTGAAAAAAAATAAACATAAATAAATAAATAAATAAAAATCCAGCTACGGTAGTTCGTATATAGCCTCACAGGAAAAGGCAGGTCTCGCCTACCGCTCCCAGCTACGGGGTTCATTAAAGGAAGACGCGGGTCTCGCGTGACACTCCCATGCGCGAGGCGACGGGCCCATCGAAAAGCCGCAGACTATAATAATTCTGTTACTTGGTAAAAAACAGACTTTCTTTTTTTTTCCTTTTTCTTTCTAAGAAGAACACAATTCCTATTCATATATATATATCCGGGAAACGGGCCCGGTGTCCCTTACATCATTTGCTGCGGTCAAACGGGCTAAGTAAGGCATAAAAAACAGACTATTTCGGTCACCCTGTGCTTCGAAAAGGGTGCGGGGCGACGGCCACCCTGTGTTTCGAATTCGAAAAGGGTGCGGATCGAATATCATCCACACCACTCATCACTGGCAGCTCTCTTGCTGGTCGGCTTCTTTCTTTCTGCTGTGCATGGTCCCCTTAAACCACCAGCACACGCCATACATCGTCCTGGAGGCTGGAGCCCATTTCGGCGGCCGAAAGGCAGCACCCACCGTCGATGTACTTTATCAACGGCCTGCTGGCTCTGACTTCATCGGAGTCGGGGACAAGCAATTCTTTGCAAGGCTGGGGCCCTGTACTACCTTCTTCCCCCGAATACAACGCACGCTCATTATAGCTGTATTTAGACTGCAACATAGTCTAAATACAGCTATAATGACCGTACGTTGTATTTGGGGGAAGAAGGAAACATAGTCTAAATACAGCTATAATGACCGTACGTTGTATTCGGGGGGAGAAGGTAGCGGTTCAATAGCATAATTACTCCTCACTCCTTTTATCCGGCAGCTTGTCTTTTCTCCTCTCCAATGCTCCCCCTCTTTTTTTTTTTTTTTTTTTTTTTTTTTTTTTTTTTTTTTTTTTTTTATTTCGTCGCTTTCGGCCAATAGCATAGTACTGCACATTGAAGTTTCCATCTGTTTCATTCATTCTCTTTCGTCGCTTTACTGTCGGATAGCATATTAACCAAGACTCTACCATCATCGGCCGGAAGTAGACCCCAGTAGACCCCAGTAATGTCAGGGCATTCTATTTGGGAGGAGACGACAGTAGGCAAAAACCACAGATTTACCTAACCACCAACCGGCCTACCTCAGTCGATACACACCCATGAACTGTTGAAATGAAGACCTGAGTTCGAACTCCAGTGGAAACAGACGAGTCACGAGTGAATTATTAAATATTTACTGCAGTAATTATTCTGAATTACCAAGGGCCGGTCAGTTCGATGATCACCAAGGTGCGGTCGGTCAGTTCGATGATGATATCTCAAGGCCGACCGTCGCAACTGGCCGAGAGCTCAGTTGGTACGCCAGGCCCATGAATTGTCCAATTACAGACCCGAGTTTTTTTTTTTTTTTTTTTTT